GAAGCCATTCAATACAGTCAGTGCCTTTCCTACCGGTCCTGGGAAATAGCCATGCTGTACAGCACTGTGTCAGGGGAGGCAAAATGTTTGGAGGTTGGGGAGAAGGGCGACCCGGAGGTTTTTCCTGCCACTGCAAGGCAGTCTTTACCAGCAAGAAGAAAAATCTTTGAATCTATCCTAGCAGTCTTAATAATCCGGAGTCCAGGCAACCAGGCAACTGTCTAAATACTTTCTATTTGGGAAGTCTCCCTGTTATACCACATTAAGGTATTAAGTCAATATTCTAAATAAAGCAGTGAATCCTGTGCTTTGCAAACACTGCTCTTCTCCTTAAGAGAGTCTCCAGCTGCGAAGTTTCAATGCATCTCAAGTTTTCCCTTTTTTGCAGTCAGCAGAGATTGCTTTTGTTCATTTCTTTCTACATCCAAGCTCAAGTTCAATGCTATTTTTTTTGTATCTACAGAAAGATAAACTGTTTCTTCTGTTTACCCTTCCTTTTTAGGCTCTTTCACTCCTTGTATTCAAGTTTAATAACTCCAAATTTTTCCCAAACATTGAAGTATGCCCTAACCACACTGTCTGGTGTACTTCACTCACAAGAACGACCAATTTGTGCACCTTCCCTCAGTCATTTTCTCAGAGGAAAGGAGGAGAGCAGTCGAGGTGATATAGGGGCGAGAAAGCACCCCTCATTCTTTTGCTTGCTACTTTGCTCTCCACTAACGAGCATCCAGTAGTAATCCCAGAAAATTTAAGGGGATGCTGAGTTAGATAGGCAATACATGACCATGTTGACTGACTGCTGGTTCATGATTAAATACAGTTGCCATGCTATGCAGTGCCTTTAAAGTGTTATTTGCTTCCCTAAATAAGGTTGGAAGAAGGCACTACATGTAGAACAGATGTTACAGACTCTGGAGTACTGAAGCAAGCGACATACGTGAACTAGGGACACATACCAAGCCCTCAGAGCCTGCAAGACAGTTAAATGCAAGCAGGTAGTTAGGTGCTTGTGTGTGCAGCTCAGTGTTTTCACTGGTTTACAGACTGGTTTAAGCCAAATATTATTAAAAACCCTACAGGTGCTAAGTTAGGTATTTAATAAAAATGTTTATCTGTAAACAAGAGTTATCCTTACAACGGATCATTTTCCAGAAATTGGAATTTCAAGACAGTGCAACAATGCTTCAGTGTTTTCTTTGGCAGTAGACAGCAAGTTGAAATGTAAAATTCAAATCACTTCAGAAGAGCACGGTACAAGGTTAGAGAATGCTTCATCTCCCTCTCTTGTTCCATGCAGAATATCAAGTCCCTGAGACAGACACGGGTTATTCTCGGACAGAGCAGCTGTTTTGTAAGGCTAAAACCTGATGATCCAGGAGCAATTCCATTGCCTTTCAAATCCTAAATGGGGGAGGGAGAGAGGAAAAAAAAAAACATTAGAATTCCATGTAAATACAAGGGTTTTGACCAAACTGGTTGGATTATACTGCCTACTTGCATAAAACTAGCCTGCTGATGTTCAGCTTTATGTATTGAAAACCAGCAATCCAGAAGTCCTTCCATACTGAATACTTTAAAAGACAAAGCAAGCACTTGTCAGTTAATGGTTTATTTTAGTCAAAGCAATGAAAAGACTTTTAGTAAAAAAAAAAAAAAATCATGTTTTTAAAAAAATGTATTATTATGGTAAGATAAATAACAGCCATTTCAGTGAAGTCATACTACGTAAACACTTGCACTGAGAAAGGACAAGCTAACTACGAAGAAGGTACTACCACAGTTCCTATGCAGAGCCTCAGGCTGTGCGAGGCTCTTACTCCCACTTGCAAACACCCAAGCTCCAGATGTTCACATCTCTTCTTGAAGTAAACCATCACTGCGAGTGGGCTCTAGCCTTGAAACACGGCCAGGAGAAACTCTTACGCTGGCCATCACCTCTGAATTGTCCTTTAAGGGAGCAACACACACACACACACAGTCGAAGCATCTACACGTTCAGAACTCTGTACCCGAGCCTATCCATGTCAGTTGGCTGCCTCGCTTGGTTATGAAAGCGCAATTGGTAGGAGATGATGATGTTTAGTAGTTATACATTCAGGCTACTGGAATGAGCAACCCCCCCGCATTCCAAAATGCCCCAAGATTTATTATTAGGGGCGGGGAGGCAGAAGATTACCATGAGCTGCACAATAGACTGGCTACTTATCTTGGAGCCAATCTATGCTACACAGCCAGTCTCTTATCACTACTGGAGGGTTCTTGGTAATGAATGCAATTTGTACAAATACAAGTGCTCAGTCTCTGTAACTTCAGTAAGGCAATGCCTGCCAGCATCAACACCACTTGGAGATGGTGTTGCTTGGATGCCGTGTTAACTATATCAATTCTTACCCTAACACTCTCTGCAAGACTTCAGCAAAATGACTTTGCCCACTTTGCTTAGAGAAATCGGGTTAAACCCCCCATATATTAGAAACAAATACCAGCGCTAGACTATCTATAGCAGTGAATGCTACTGTTGTTAGGGGGGAAGCATTGAAATTTATTAACAAAATAAAGAGATTCACCAGAGAGCACGCACTAACCACAGAAAACCCAGGGCATATTGCAGAAATGGAAGCTGTATTTCTTACTAGCAGCATGCAGGGTATTCAGCACCATTTCATTTGCTTTACAGTCGATACTATTAAACACTATGAAATGCCATCATTTGAAACTTTCAGTTTGTTAAATGGCTTGGAACAAATGCGTGTGTGGGGAAGACTGCTGGCCACATCGCACAGAGAGGGCACTGCTGTCCTGGTAAGACACAAAAGGGTCATGGTTCAAGTTTGTCATATGACAACCCTGAAGGATCCAGGGAAAAGATAGCTCTGCAATGCAGCTGCCAGCACGGGTTGAAAAGGAGGTCAATCTAACAGGATGCAGCAGAAGGCCTGAGGCAATGTTATAAATGAAACAAACCCCAAGGGTTTTCAGTAACCCAGCAGCAATGTCCTTTATAATTCAAAGAACTTTATGGAGGTGAAAGTATTTTCTCTCTAAATAGTCATTAGACTAGAAGTCTTACCTTTAAAAAGACACCAAACAAAGCCACCTCAATCTTGTTCACTCCCTTCCAAAAAGGAGGCAGACAGCACAAATCCCCAAACCTGCTTTGGAAAGCTGCTGGAGCTGCAAGATGCTACAACAGGGCAGAAGTGCCACGCTGCCTGAGTTTAAGACAAAGTTATGGATTTCTTTATTCTTAAATTCTTACCTATCATGCCCAGTGTAGAGACGTAAAGCGATGTTATGCTGTAATATCACATCCAAAGCCAAAGCTTATCCTGGACTCCTGTTTGCCAAGACAGTCAGTGCATACTTCTAAGTTTCACGTAGCATCACATGGGCTTATCTGAGCTACCAAGTACAGCATTTCAGGGGCCGGGAGCTTTTTAGTTACTGAACATATCTAAACCAACAGCTGCTACCACATCCAAGTTAAAAGAAAAGGTCCTTCTCTCAAATTGCATGATGGTTTAAAATTAAAGAAACCAACAGACAGCCTAGGTAATTCTAGTCCAGACTGGGACCGTGTTGGGGAACTCACTCTAAACTAAGTTTATACAGGGATGAGCGCTAACTCCTTTTAACTACTGTCCCCTACGGCTGCATTGAAACGCTGGTCTTTGATGGTTTTGTTTTGGACTTTGGACCAAGCAGTGGAGGGTGATGTACTGCCTGTCTTTTTGTAACGGAACATTTAGAGAATCAAAAGTGAAAACACTTGAAGTTAAAATGTCATCTGCGCATCAAAACGAACCATCACAGGTGCCTCTGTTAATGTCCAAGACCTTATTTAAGAAGCGCCCAACTCTTGAGCTCTCCAGCTGACACAAGGGGCACTTTAGGGGAGGGTCCTCTGCTGCTCAGTTCTCAGAGCAAGTTCCTCTTGGGCAGCGGGTCAGTCTTGTCTGGCTCTAAGCAACAGTCAGCAGTCCTCTTGTTTACATCTCATATACCCCTTCCTGCACAGAAGCTTCCTCGTGCTGTTTTTAAGCGCTTAATACCCTGGTTAGAACACCACCAGCCCACTCCTTGCTCCCAGACATCTCTATTACCTTCCTCTCAGTTGGGCAGCAACCACTTGTATCCTACTATTTTGGGGGATTCTTCACTGTAAAAGCCTTCAGCCTACCCTAAGACAGCTTTGTGAACTTCTGCTGAGGGGAAATGAAAAGGTGTTGCTTTTCAACCAGGCCATGGACAAGTACAAAGATAAGTGAATGTAAAACGCATCCCTGTAGAACCAATTCTAGCAAAGAGTACTGCACCCAGCCTGCCTTCTGCAACATCTAATTATTACTGCCTTAACTAGCAACTTCTTTTTCTTAATTTTTTCTTTTTTTACATTGGGAATACTCCTCCTCTCCACATGGGAGGCTGGAAGACATCAGCTGTATCCTGAAGTTCCTGCCTTTCACTGAACCCCCAGCACCCCGCTTTCCTTCTAAAAGAGAAACAACGCAGAGACACGCAGCCCAGGAGGGGTAACTGCCAGCATAAATACTACCAGTCAACCTGAATATCAGCCACCTGGGTATCAAGAGCTGACAGACCCTGTTTGTAAGCCAGGTAAGGCACCGCGCCAATGTGGCTCTGCACCGCTGGAAACCGCCCTTCACAGTACTGAGACCACCAGCTGGCTTAACACCAGCCCCAGGAGGCCACAACAGCTGCCGTCCTGCTTTTGGCCTGTCCTCAGAGTGAAGTAAAATCAGCAACTTTGCCAAAGCAACATGCCGTCACTCTTTCTTGATCCTCAGCGCCTTTTATAGACCCCTGACAGAGATCAGTTACTCTCAGTGATCCTGGCAGCAGAAGACATTGTGGAGCTCCTGCTGTAGTCTCATGCCTGCTGTGCAGCTAGTTTTGTTGACAGGTTGTTTCCAAAACCTGTTTTAAGATCTCTAGAGCTCTCTCCAGTGGCTGGACTGAGAATTAAATACCAACTCTCTCTGAACAGGCAAGAGTGAAGTTGATACAGAGCCACAGCTCACAAGAAGGCTCTTCCTTTACCTGAGCTACCATCACCACCTTATTCCTAGTTTCCAAGGTATCTGGAGCGTGTGATCCACAAGTCTGGATCACAGGTACTGACAAGGATATCAAAGTTGCTCAGAGCTATTCTACTGGCCCTGACACAAAGCTCAGAGGGGTCAGACGACACTTCCCTTCCCACCAAGCCCAGGTCAGGCTCAGTGAGCTGTTCCTGACGGGGTACATGCTCCCTTCTCAAATTCAATGGCTTCACATCAATCACATTCAAAATGTTAAACTCTTGAGAGGGGGGCACTTTAAGGGAGAGCAAAGTGTTCAGTCAAATGTTAAAAGTCAAGCCAAGAGTTCTCGTTTCAATTTTTGGTGTGGCATAAACACATCTCAGTCCCGGAGCCAAGATCCTAAGAGAGCAAACTGTCATTGCAGCTCTGCTGTGCATTATTAAAAATACCACCAGCAGAAGGAAGCAAAGTCACGAGACAGTTTCCAATGACATCTCCAAACACTGAAAAATTACAGCTGTGTGCAGCAGAGACATTGCCAAAAGGTGGTAAGAGCATCTAGCGAATCAGAGCAAAAGCATCCAGGTTCAACACCGCCCCCCCCCCCCCCACCTCTGTCACCTGGGGCCACACTGAGGTCGGTGGTACCTGGTGTACCGTGCACATTAGCTGCCCAGCTATAAAACACAGAACACATTCCTGTCTCACAGGAGGAAAAAAAGGTTAAAAAGCCCTTAACACATCGTGGAGTGCTCCAACGCTTTCCTGGGTCTCCCCCAGCAGCAAAGGGGAAGGAAGAGACCCTGTCAGAACTGTGACAGCTTTGCTTGTACTACTAAGTGTCTAATTTAGGCCAGAGAAAACAAAGTGAAAGAAGTTGATACTGCTTTGGTGACAAGCCAGCCTACTGATGCTTGCCTATCCTAACAAGCCTCAGTCTGATAGAAACACCCCCACCTCCGCAATACTAAAATACTATATTACTCAATATTTATATGATTCTTTTTTTAAAATAAAGTTGGTTGTGTTAGGTAGTTTGGGTTTTGGGGAGTTTTGTTTTTAACCTTATAGACCACTAGGGTAGATCAAGCCAATGTCTGAAAGGCTTAGATCCAGGCTGCTTCTCGTGCAACCGAAAACAAACATGTATATTTATGATGTTATCTGCAGCCTACAAAGAAGCCTCATGAAGCTGTCAGATCCATAGACTAGAGAACGCTATTCAACTATGCATTCTTCCTCAGATTTCATTGCAACATTCCTACAAGTCCTTTCAAATGTAGGCAACAACATGTTTTACATATTGAAACAAATTACTGCGAATGTAATGTCAGTTTATTCACTATTATGCCCAAG